GGCTTAATTCATTCTGTCTCCTGCAGTAATTCACCGAGGGAAGTGAAAACCATAGTTTTTCTTCTTCTCCTCTTATAATATCTTCTGATTCACTTCGTTGCGGGAACCAAGACAGTTACTCATGTCCCTGGGACGCGCCGGACTTCAGTGTTCCGGTGTTTTCATGGTTGTATCTACTGTAGATTCTGGCTTACAGGAGTTGCAGCGGTTTTGGGAGGTTGTGGCGGGCTTGTCCCATTAAAAAAAAAAGCGGGGCACATACAAAGTGAAACAATTTGCTTGATATTTTTCTAATCCAGATTCTCTGTTTCAATAAAAGTTAAAACTACAAGAACTTTTAAAAAGCATTCTAAATTTAAAAAAATATCTTGGATTTGATCGATATTCAAGTCGGACATAACGTATTTTTATACTTGATAAGAACACGAAGTCTGAAATAACGACTGTTGCGTTCCAAAAGGATCGCTCGTATATTACTATTAGGTACTTATAAGGTATATATTAGATAAAAGTAAGGTATCACATGTCCGTCGCCTGGTTCCAAGCTATCTCCTCGCCGATTTTTACCCAAATCGGTTAAGCCGTTCTTGACTTATAAATAGTGTAACTAACACAACTGTCTTTTATAAATATATTAATTTAAGAATATATAAATTACACCTATCTGTCAATTAATCACTACCTTTTTATCACATAGATCGGCCCGAACGTATCAGTCGGCGCAGGGGTGACAATCAAGGCAGGCGTGAGAATCAAGGAGTCGATCGTACTGAACAACGCGACGATACATGAACATGCACTTGTTATGTACTCTGTCGGTAAGTTGAATAGAGCTTGTAAATGCCAACTATGCACATGATGCATGTAAACTAAGCACATAGGACTGAATTCAATAATTGTGTCAAGGAAGTGTTGAGAATTGTGCAGACATGCTCCATTCTCGCTAAATGGCACTCAACTGGCGAAAGGTTGGTTAAACATAACATAACATCACGCCTTTTATCCTCGAAGGGGTAGCCAGAGTTGCACATTATGCCACTGTACAATGTAACACCCAGTTTTCATTATTTATGTTGAGTCCCATGTAATAAGGAGTTGGTTAAACGTAATAAATTATAATAGGGTAGTTTCCTAAATTTTATTTTAATATCCGTCTGGTACATTAATTTCAAACTTTAGACACGTATTTTTTCTTTTCTCATGAAATTAAATACTTTCAACGATATATTAATTTGAAATATCGTGTGACGTCACAGCGTGTCACATTTTGTAGCACGTTATGACGTACCGACCTCCCACTCCTAAACTTAGCGTCATTTTATCTAAGTATTGTAGCTCAATACGAGAAAAGAAAAAAATACGTGTCTAATATTTTTTCATTATCTAACTGTCGGACTAATTAGATTTTTAATTTTGATAACCTGGAAACTACCCAATTATATCAACTAAGTCTTGAAAAAACAACGACATAAACCTTATAGTACTGGAACGCGAGATAAGTAGTGTATCGTTTTCGTGCTCTGCCCCTAGACATGTAAAGAAAGGTAACTTAAAACTAAAGTCAACTACAAAATTCATAAACCATATTCCTCAAAATGTGCTTAAAATTAATCTTGTCTTTTAAAAAACCCATTAAAAAATTATATATTTTCCGTTCAGTCGGCCAAGAAGCGTCAGTAGGCGAATGGTCCAGAGTAGAAGGTACACCTTCAGATCCGGACCCGAACAAACCATTCGCGAAGATGGACAACACACCGCTTTTCAACACCGATGGGAGGTTGAACCCATCTATTACTATTTTGGGTAAGTTGAGGCAGAAGTCATTCGATGAGTTTCCACCCTCAAGAAAAGCTCTTCGAGTAATAATATCTACTTAACATCATAACATCACGCCTTTTTATCCCCGCAGGGGTAGACAGAGGTGCACTTTTCGGCACTTAATGCCACTACAATGTAACACCCACTTTTCACTATTTATGTTATGAGTCCCATGTAATAGGAGGTGACCCTATTGCCATATACCGGGCCATTTGCAGACTCCGTGCTACTACTAAGATTTTTAAAAACCCAGTAATACTTTGCCTGACCCGGGAATCGAACCCGAGACCCCTTGCCCGGCAGTTGCACTTGCGACCAGTCATAATATCTATTTAATATAAGATTCATTTTTTATTAACAGGTGCAGGAGTAGTGGTCCCAGCGGAAACAATCCTTCTAAACTCAATAGTGTTGCCACACAAACATCTAACAAGGAGTTTCAAACACGAAATTATTTTATAGTGAGGTCTGGCAACATTGGTTCGTAAGAATAGACTACAGATACAAAATAATTGTAAAGTAATGACTAGAAAAAATTTGATACTATTAAGATATAAAAGGCCTAAGATATGTAGCATTAACTAAAAATCGCGGGTTACTCACGTGAAAATACTGAGAAAAGCTCTACTAGTTTCGAACCACAGAGGGGTCTTCCTCATGAGCAGCGTGCGCGGTCGCGGCGATGTCGCGCGGCCCACTGGTAGACTGATGAGAACCCCACTGTAGTTCGAAACTAGTAACGCTTTTCTCAGTATATTCACGTGACTAACCCGCGACTTTAAGTTAATTTAGTATGTCTCACGATAGTTATTATAAAATATGCAGCATTCTTAAAAATACTGACAGTGATATAGACAGACCAATGACAAAAACTTGTGCCCAAAAAAAAAATCACCGCTAATGACTTAAGGAGCCGTGATGCCTAATCTAGTTATTGATAATACCATTTTGGTAAGTAAACAACTCTATTTTATAATTAAATAGCGACCCGCCCCGGCTTCGTCTTCGGGTGCAATATTCATGTATGTATTATACATAATTATAAACCTTCCTTAAGAATCACTCTATCTATAAAAAAAAGCCGCATCAACTTCCGTTGCGTAGTTTTAACGATCTAAGCATACATAGGGACAGACAGACGGCGGATAGCGACTTTGTTTTATACTATGGAGTGATATCGATAGCCCATTTATTGGGCGTCTATTCCTTTTACGATTATAAAGTCAAATCGTACCGTAACGCACGCTGCTCTGTTATGTTTGGTCTTTGAAATATTTTTAAGAGACTATCTATGAGTTTTTTTTGTGTCATTCAATTGAAGCCTAAGATTTTATATGCGTAGATATAATGTATATGTAACCTATTATCCTAGTGTGTATAATAAGTTCTTATTACTAAAAAGGATGTTGAAAAAAGGCGAATATAAAGTCACTTGAAATGATTGAAGCACAAAAAGGTCGAGTTTTTTTTTTATGTTATTGTTATTTATCTTTATATCACAAAGGTAAGTATTTTCTAATCTAAGCCCCACAAAACCGTTGCAATGGTTTGACTGTGAGGTCAAATCGCTAGACATTACAATTAAATTTACTTACATTTAAATGTCGTGGTGGCCCGGAGGTTAAGACGCCCGCTTCTCATGCATGAGGGTGCGGGTTCGAAACCTACCAACGGCAAGTACCAATGTGACTTTTTCCGAGTTATATGTACTTTCTAAGATTATTTAGACACCACTGACAAACGGTGAAGAAAACATCGTGAGGAAACCTCTACTTATGATTTCTAATTACAAGTTTGAAATCGCCAACCCGCAATGAGCAAGCGTGGTGATTAATGCTCAAACCTTCTCCGTGTGAGAAGAGGTTTTGCTCAGCAGTGGGCATTTAATGGCTGTTGATGACGATGATGATATTTAAATGTTATACAGGCGATGAAACTGATACTTATTATTGGGACATTTCTAAATAATATGACTTTAATTAACGTTTAAACCTATTTGAATTAGTTTCACTACTTATGTCTGCCGGCAGACTACTCAATACATATGGTATTCTCTTTTTTAGTGTTCTATCACCAAAATAGTGACTCTGGGTACACTGTATCTACCAGCAGCCATCGTTCGTGTGTTATGGTTGTTCTTTTTTCTTTATATAAGACTAGCGGACCCAACAGACGTTATCCTGCATATCCACTTGAATGAATAAACAAAAATTCATTCAAATTAGTTTAGCTGCTTAGGATAAATAACCTAAACCTCGACTGCAGCGCCATCTGCCGGGCTGATTTAGAATCTAAACCATTCCCAGATCCCCTTGAACAAACACAAAAAATTTAATCAAAATCGGTCCAGTCGTTTGAGAGAAGTTCAGTGACATACACGCTCACAGAAGAAATTTATAATTATATAAAGATAAGTTATGCTCCTGAGTACGGAGGTGGTTTACTAATAAAAGATATTAAAATTTATGTTTGAAAGTAATCGGTTGAATTTTGCATATTTTAAACTAGCTGACCCGCAGTACCCGCACCCACTTCGTTGGGCGATAAATAGCCCATGTCACTGTCCATACTTTTATTTAACTATCTCCAGTTAAAAAAAAAACATCAATTCGTCACTCCGTTTTGCCGCGAAAGATTGACAAACGACATCATCATAATTAAAATAATTTTCTATAGTCTCCTTTACAGCTGCTTTTAGTTTTTTCAGTAAAAAGTAGTTTTAAGAATGTGTGCGGGTGTAATGGGTTACCACGTTAACAGACTTAAGATAATGGCAGATGTCCTTCGTGTCAATGTGTGAGTATTCTGCGTGTAAATCTATAGTAGCCAGGTGACACAGTCGTTGTTTCAAGAGACTGTGTCCGCCATTTTTCAACGTCCTTGATGTAATTTGTAAATTAAGAATGAAATACATTATTTTCGTTAAGCTTACTTGACCAATGTATAGATAATTATATATTTATTTATTTTACACGTATGTACATCACAATTTATTGTAATAAAACTTGATTAACTAAAGCTAAAATAAATCTACAATTGATTAATATATATTAGCTAATCGGTCGCGAAAGGTGCGCAAGAATGTAATACGTATTTATTTATATATATTTTATTGCACACACAGAAAAAAAATGTAAGCATTGCAATAGTAATTTGTGTACAATGGGCGGTCTTATCACACGCGGCGATTTATTCCAGACAACCTTTGGATGGAATTTTAAAAAGAATCTGGGAATGGGTGGTAGACGCACAATAAAAGAAAAAAAAATAGAAGAAAAACAAATTAAATAATCAATAAAACTTACAGACTACATATAATACATACTAAAATGATAAAAATGGGCAATATTATGTAATAAATATATACTTAAATGTAATAATTATGATAACTACATATACATAGATACCTACGTATCTTAATTTTTCCAAAGAATTTTCGTAATTTTTCAATAATATGAAAATAATTGTTTTTGACTAAACATTCTATGTACAAAAATACATAGATATCGAACAAACAACTTTATGTAGAAAATATATAGATCGTCCGCTTCGCTACAATATTGTGTACAATCACAAATTACTGCTACAGTCTTCAAAGTTAAGGTTAAAAATGGCCACCCATCTACTAACGAACCTCGGCAAGTACTACTTAACCAATAAACAATAAGTCTACAAAGCTGTTACTAGCCACAAAACATTTTTTCGTTGACATTGAAGTCGCATTCACTTTCTTACATTTTTTTTTAATTTTAGCTCAAAAGCCATTGTACCTTGTCCATCAACTTTTTCTTAGTCGCCACAGATAAAACCTTCGTTTTGTTCCGGCTTCCGATTTCCTGACGAAGCTCACGTAGCTATACAAATACAATGTGTAATTATTTAAATTCTGCGATGATTTTTTTTAAGAACTACATTATTTTATTTAACTTGTAGAAATTAGATTGGGTTTAATTCCCCAAAACTAAAGTAAATATACCAAAGCTTTTAGTGAAATAAAATAAATACATTTGGTATCTACATCAATAGGGATGATGACGGTTTATAAAAATTAAAAATCTATTTAGTCCGTCAGTTATGTACCTAATGAAAAATATATTGGATACGTATTTTTTTATTTTCTTATGTAAGAAAACAAAACTAAGATAAAACGATTCAAAGTGTATGCATAAAGTATAAAATGTACATAGAAGTGACGTCACGCGACTTTTGAAATAAATATATCGTTGAAAGTATTCGTTTTTATAAGAAAACTAGCTGACCCGGCAAACTTCGTACCGCCTAAAAAATATTTTTATCCTTACCTTACCTTTTAAACCTTCCCTGGACTTCCACGAACATTTCAAGACCAAAATTAGCCAAATCGGTTCAGCCGTTCTCGAATTTTAGCGAGACTAACGAACAACAATTCATTTTTATTTATATAGATAGATAAAAAATACGTGTCTAATGTTTTTGAATAATCTACCAGACGGATATTAAAATAAAAATTTGTCATCTACCCTATTCTCAAAATCAAAATTCCAATTCATTTGTATTCATCTTTAAACAAAGAGACAATAAAATATACACACAAAGTAGTTTTATATTAAGTTTAATATTGTATGCGCGTGAGTTTATTACGTAAATTGGTTTGAGTACTTACCTACTGCCTCGTTGGCCAAATGTTTGCAAGGGCGACTGCCGGGCAAGGTCTCGGGTTTGATTCCCGATTCTCGGGCAAAGTATTATTGGGTTTTTAAAAAAATTCTCACTGGTAGCACGGAGTCTGGAACTGTACCCGGTAAATGGCAATACTTTTCACTATTTATGTCATGTAATAGGGGTATTACATGACATAAATACAGCAAAGGTGCACCTCTGCCTAACCCTTCGGGGGTAAAAGGCGTGATGTTATGTATGTTTTGAGGAACCTAATGGCGACTGTCATGGATCTTGGAAAGAGAATCGGCATGATTAATTACTGTCAAACACCAACCGGTCACCGGTGACCGCAACCTATTGTTCTATAATAAATTGTGTCTATAATGACGGTACTCGACGAGTTAAGAATCAATCTCAATTCAAAACCGATGTTCGTTTCTGACATTCGTTTTATGAATTTCTGTCAAAAACCATAGATTAATACAGATACTGTCGCGGAGAACCTAACGGGTAACCGGGGCTCCGACTCGACGTGCAAGAGAAGGAACGGGGTGGTTTTTAGTCAGTAAGAGTCTGACACTCCCTCCCGCCTCACCCAGGCGGGAGCAGTCATTCGATGATTTTCCCCACTTAAAAAAAAATAAAAAAAATATACAGATATTCAATTTTATATTACTATCGGTTATTTGATTTCGTCCGTGTATGGACACAAAACCTCGAATTATGTTCGATACTTAACTCGTCGAGTACCGGTTTTGTAGACACAATTATAGAACAATAGGTTGCGGTCACCGGTGACCGCTTGGTGTTTGACAGTTTAATACTTATGTTCTGTGCCTTTACTAGTCTACAATTTTGAAAAAGGTTCTATTAGGTCTTTCCATAGGGCCGGATGAACTAACGCGCAAATACCTATTAATATTGTAATGTACCTACTATATGTAATATTATGTATGTATGTATGTAACATAGCTGTTAAGATATGGTGCTTTAAATAAATGAAATGAGCACATTACCTTCTTTTATTTAATGACTGCCTCGTTGGCTAAGCGGTCGCAAGTGCGACTGCTGTGCAAGGGGTCTCGGGTTCGATTTCCGGGTCGGACAAAGTATTACTGGGTTTTCAAAAAATCTCAGTAGTAGCACGGAGTCTGGAATTGTGCCGGGTATATGGCAATAGGATCACCCCCTATTACATGGGACTCATGACATAAATAGTGAAAAGTGGGTGTTGCATTTCACTGTGCCGCAATGTGCACCTCTGCCTACCCGGGGATAAAAGGCGTGTTACGTTATGTTATTTAATGTATATTTGTTTCAAAAACACGCTATCTTATGGATTTACAAATGCCCTTTTTCAAAACTACCCAGGTACATTTTTTTTTAGGGGGAAAATCAT